ATATTATAACTAGCGGTTATGATTATTGAATAACATTACAAAGTAGTTCTGACAACACGAAAGTGGTGATTTTAATAAATATATAGCTGGGGGTAAAGTGAAAATATTGATCAAGAAATCAAGAATGTTCTCATGGTGATCATAGGTGGCACATCCAACCAGATTGGGAGACAGACAGGTGCAATGGGGTATTGCGTATTGGTGGATTATACGCAATTCAAAGTTCAAAGGGTCATGAAAAAACAGCATTCTATAGAAAGTAACTTTAAAACTTAAGCCGTGTTAATTGTAATTTCCATTCAGCTTCATTCAGTCTATTAGCTTCTCCTAGTTTGTCCCACTATCTTGGCTTTGTGTGAAGAGAAAAAAAAAAGTCAAGGTCTATCATAAACAAAAAACAAAACCTTCATTAACACTAATTAAGCTATCATTCATTAACCCTACGAGAAGTTACATCCTATTATATTTGTCCTCATTATTCTTACTAGAAGACCATATGATCCAATATATCACCCCCTTATATTAGGGTTTGGACTTTGAACATTTGCCTTCTATTCAAACTACATGATTTTCTATCTTTTTTATATAAGTAGAGAAGTAAGCAAATTAAGGCATGTAAGATGGCCAACAGGACAAGATGTAACGTAAACTACACGATCATAAATATTATGCTGTTTGATTGCCTCTAGCCTTTTGAAAATGAACATTTGTTTGCTCGAGTCATAATCGATCTCTCAAGAACACAAGAAAACCTTTCATGTAACGAGGATATGTTCCCGATCTCTCACTCTCTTATTCATTACTTAATAAGTCAAATGGTGGGTATAGAATAGATACTGAAGGGATACATTGCTCCAATAGGAAAGTATTTTGTCGTTGTCATCAACGTTGTTAAGTTAATTGAAAATTAAAGATTGAACTTCTATAGTATTGGATTATGATTGTGAGCTTAAATTTAATTAATTAACGTTTCATTTTTAATTACAACTTGATTATCTTCTTATGTTTTGGATCACAACATGTTGGATTCTTTAGGAACGTAGGTGACATACCGATGGTGAGGTGAAATTGTGTTAGTCTTCTACTTCTACTTCTAGATGGACAAGAAAATGGAGCTAAGAAAACTGAAGCAATCATCCACACACGTGCATTTGGCCCCATATGCTACTTGGTTTCGGATTTGACTGGTCAATCGGACAATTGTCAGCATCATTTTCTCACATCTTATATACGGCCAAAAAATAAGCAAGTTTTTTCAAGCAAAAATAAAAAAATCAAGTTGGCCTATAACAAGATAATAAGATAAAATAGGAAAAGAAACTATTGAATTAATTATTCACAGTGACATGGAGGAATTCATACAAAAGAAGTCATGGATTTGTTTGTGGAGAAGTAAGAAATGAAATGTGCATATAATCACTAATTACTTAATTATCATCTTTCATCTAAATTATGAGTAGGTGGACAATTTTTTGCGCAAATAGAAGAACCAAGAATTCTTTTCCGTATCCTATAAACCTGACTCATAATCATTTGCCTTCTCCCTATCTCCTATGTAAACCCATAATCCAAAACTCAAATAACCAAACCACAAAGTTTTGTGGCTTTATTGACTTGCATTTTTTAAATAATAAAATTATTATTATTATTAAAGAGAGGAGATGATTTGAAACTATTATAATAATTTAAGAGATGACGGAGTTTCCAACCTGAAATGCATGATGAAAATCCAACACGCTATTCACTAGGATACTAACTTGCATTTTGCTCAAAATTTCTTTCTTCCTCGTAATTGAAGAAAAATACTTTGAAACGATCTTTAGAGTACAAAAAGGTTTTCATCTGATAGCATCCTTTAATTATATTTTTTTATAGAGCAAAAATATATTATGTTAGACAAAAGAGTTTATGATGCTTTCTTTTGGTAGAATAATTATTAAATATTGACTTAAGAAACTTTAGATTACCTTGAAGCATTTGTTAATTTTCTCTAGCAATTAAGGTTATAGTTCGAACTTTTCTCTAACAATTAAGGACATAGTCCATGTGAATAAGTTTGCAAGTTATGTAACAACAATTGAGCTATTTTAATGAGTAGTAAGGATAAATCTGCTACAAGTTTTGGAGAAAGTTAAAGTTTTGCCAGAGCCCTATATGTATATGTCGAACAACCTTCTATTAAATGTTATTAATCTAATAACTCCATTAATTAGTTAATGAGAATATCTTGTTGTTCCCAAGACCATTCCTCCCTTTCCATGCTTTAAGTGGCCAACAATTACACATGGCTCCGGAGCATTCTTTATTGTGAGATTATGGTAGCCAATCTGGTTTATATCTACCAGCTCAATAACCCCCTTTGTTCATATAAGCTCAACTGTGTAGTTCCAACTTGTAGTTTATAAATTAGACCTAAAAAAAACTTCTAATATATAAATTGCCCTTTTATACATAATTGTTTAAACCAATTAGCTTCGCTCATATAAGCTCAACTGTGTAGTTTCCAACTTGTAATTTATAAATTCGACCGAAAAAAAAACAAACTTGTAATATGAAAAATTGCCCTTTAATACATAATTGTTTATGTAAGGTTGTGAATGACAATGAATGATGTATTGGATTACTTATGTTGTAGGCCACTTGTTTATTGAGTTGTTAACAACTTAAGTAATTTGATAGTCCTAATGAAATAAGGATTATGGAGTCTTATCCTTTGCAATTGACCAAAAGAAATCTGAAGGATTTCACTACAAAGATACAGTATCATGGTGGGTGGGACTTAAACACTTAAGTGATAGGGTTCGACTTTCACAACCAATAATAGGCTGGCTGTGATTAAACCCTAATGATATAAATACTATGGTTAAGTCCCTGCTTCCATACGCTTAATCTCTCAGATACGCTGAACCCTATTCATATAGCAGAGAGATATTATTGAAGTACTGGAAGTAGAAGACAACCTAGAAATCTGCAATGTCTTCCATATTCTACAGATAAGTTTAATATAATTAGTCGATCTCTATTTTATATTGATTTGATTTATTTGTGATCCTAATGTCTTATTGTTGTGATTTCAGAATATGTCTTACAGTTTAAACCAATTAGCTTCTTATTTTAGACAAACTTTGGGACTATAAATAAACAAAAAATCTTCAATTTCATCAACCGGAGTAATATTTAATTAACAATTTAATTCTTGCTGCATAAATGAAGGAACTAGCTTAACTTATGATTGCCAATAGATTAGTTGGGGTGTGGGGCCTCAATTAGTGCACCATTAGTTGTGCAAATGTCTGAACATCAGTGCTTAAGATGAGTTAATGACATTAGAGTACTATGCTGTCTCGACAAGTCGCGACCTGAAGTGCTAGAAAGGAAAAATTGTCCCTCTTCCTCTGACCTCCTGAAGTGTTTCTATTCCAGTGTCACTATCTTTTGTTTCATTCATTTGTAGAATATATTCTTCTTTTTCTATACCTTTATTACCTCCCTTAAAGTTTGATTATCTGTAATTGATGAGTATTATTAGCCCCATAAGTATAGATTAACAGTGTATAATCTTTCATTAATCGACCACTGTGGGTCTAATCTATGGGACTGTGCATTATTTAGTCAGTAATCTGTCCGTTGCTTCTATTTAAAAACTCAAGGACTCTTGCCTGGTTCCATAAACTAAACTAACAAGTGGAATTCAATAACAGATTAAGGGCTACAAAATGTTCTCTCTCTCTCTCTCTCTCTCTCTCTCTCTCTCTCTCTCTCTCTTATTTGAACTTTTCAGCCTTAGTCTATAGTTGGGGCAGATTGAGTTGTCACACACACAAGAATTATTAATGTAAAGATATTCAATTAGATGGACAAATATTCTCTACTGATATGTTTTGTTGCAAAACTGTTAATATTTATTAGTATACTAGTATATACATCGTGTTTTAAGATAGACTTTACCAATATAATACGTCAGACTAACATTATTATCCTATAATTAAGTACCTATATAAAACGTAATTTATTTACACCCAACTTTTTAAATGTTATTTTGTGTTAGCTGCTTATCGATGTGAATCAGGAGTAACATGGGGATGATCAGCTGGTTCATGGTAGAAGGATGAAATGTGTGATGATTTATCAATTGTTCAATGGAATCCCACATCCATTGCCAGCTTTTCTAGTTCATGCAGTGTAATATATAGTTTATGCCATTTGCCTGTCACTTACTCACGTTATATAATTTTCAAATTTCTGCCATAAAATTGGTTTCATACATCTTATTTGGTCAGTATTAAAAGAAGTCAAAAGCACTAAACAATTATCAACCAAAATTGTCTACGTATATTTTGAGAGTTTTATCTGTTAATAAAAGGAAAAAACACTCAAAATGGCTTTGTAATTTTCATGAGTACTGTTATGTATATTTTAAAAGCACATATGCCTATTGTAGCAGCTTAAGCCTTATCACATTTGTTCTAGTGAATGTGCATAGTTACCCTTTTGCCTATGATATACTTATTTGGCAATATAGTTATATTCAATTACTGCTTGTTAGCACCTCAGTGCTACAAGTGTTTTAGCCATTAAATTTGATTTTCATTAGATCTTTTATTTTCAACATCAATCATTCATTTCTTATATATATAATATATATATATATATATATATACCACTTAATATTACATATCATTGAAGAAAAATTACAAATGAAGATATCATGGATTTGGTTTGTGAAAGCTGATAAGTTCTTTAATTTGTCGTTTAAGGAATCTTAGTTTCTTATTTGAATTTTGAGAGCATGAAAATTTAGTATTGACTGGTGAGAGGCTACTGGGATAGAAAGAATAATAGTGAAGCGCTGTAGCCCATAAAGGAAACCTATTCTAATTAAGTATTCATTGTAATATAATTAACACTGCCCCCACTCAAACTCTGATCTAAGCTCTGACAGTATTTATAAGCCTGGAGGAGTGATGCTATGCACATAGCATAAACCAGATTAATTAAACTCTCTTAAAACGTACTAATTAGTATGACAGGTTCTGGTTCTCCTTGTGGTGCCTGCAAGTTCTTGAGAAGGAAATGCATTAGGGGTTGCATTTTTGCACCTTACTTCTGCCATGAACAAGGTGCTACCCACTTCGCAACCATCCATAAGGTCTTCGGGGCAAGCAATGTGTCGAAATTGCTTGCTCAACTCTCCGCCAGTGACCGATGCAGAGCCGCGCTTACAATCTCATATGAAGCTCAAGCTAGGGTTCAAGATCCTATATATGGCTGTGTTTCCCATATTTTTTCTCTCCAACAACAGGTTACTTTAATTAATTTACTAGTTAATCATTGGACTTGTGTTCTCTAATTTAGCTTCTAATTCATTAATTTCAACAGATCATGATGATTAATCTTATATGTTGACTATTGCAGATTATTAGTTTAGAAGCACAACTAGCTTCTGTCAAGGAACAAGCAGCTAAAGGCTATTCCAGCAATAATTTCCAAGGTTGGCTTCAGTCGGAAAATTCAAACACACTGATGCCACAAAGTGTGATTAATGAATCAATAACACCAGTATATTCCGGAAACAAGAACCCTAACTCTTTCGCGGCTAATGAAAATTCCATGATTCCAGAAGTACTAAATGACATGTACGGAAGCTACGGAGAGTCTTATAATTCCACGTGTTCATTAGACATGCAAATGAGCAATATTTCATGGGGTTTTGATCAAGATCATGACTGATGAGCACTGATGAGCTTCAGTTATCAGCAGTAGTCGCCGGAATATTATCATAATGCAATAAATGGGGAAGGTTTTGCAATTTTTATTGACACATACAAGAAAAACTAGGAACCCTAGGAGTGCTCATACAGCAGTCACAAATATTTTTCAAAAAATGCAGTACGGTATTTTTCTCACCCACAATAATGTGATATAGCCGGTAGTGCCCTATCTGTAAGCCTCAAGAGATTTCCTGAGGTTTTCTGGGTCCAGTGAAGTGAACGCATTTTCCAAATGACTGATGGCCAAAACCGGTTTTGTTTTTTTTTTATTTTTTTGTTCTTTAGTTTCAGAAAGAATCCATATCAGTTTCATGTTGTATTTAATTAGTAGTTAATATCAATGATCATTCCAAAGAGAACCCAATTTCAATAATGAAGTAAGTGCGGATTAATATCAACTAATCCATGAGATCTTGCCTTGTCTTAATTCAAGTTTCTCAATGATTAAAGATCGAGCACCCCCACCTTCACTCACCCTTCGAAAGGTATGTCGAAAAAAATTAGGCTGTATTCATAACCTAGGCCAACCCTAGGCCAACCCTAGGCGCATAATATATAGCATCCAAGGTTAATCACAAATATTGTCTAGAGGCGTTGGAAAATATTGCACCACCAACTAATTCAACTCGATCAATCATACATGTGAGACCCATTATGATATAAACCTAATTCCTATTGGCTTTCACTACCAAAAATTACCATTTACTCGACAAAGTTTTGCATGATGAACAATTTTCATTGGGCAAATAACTTTTATCAGACAGAATACAAACGTTGTCGGGTAAAAAAGGTCAACATTTGGGTTTTGCCCGTCGAACGTCGGGTAAAATTTTTGCACCAAGGGAAAAACTTTGACGCGTAAAATGGCAACCCTTACGCGACAAACTATCCATGTTTCGTATGATTTAGGAGGGATATGTTTCGTAGGGCAAAATATACTATTTTTTCATGCAAATGGGAGGGATATGATTGGCATATTTAATTCATTCGATTATTTTTGCAATCTGCAAAATTTAATTTCAACAATCCAACCGTCAAACTTGTTTATATATACTCCAAGATTGCATATGCCAAAAACAACGTTTGGAGATTAGGTAGCGCAACAAAATCCTTTGACGGTTAGAAACAAAAAATCACGATTCAAAGGTTATTTTAGCTTTGATTTAGACCTTTTTTTTGCAACTTCAGTTCTCGACCCTAGAAGAATACAATGAACGAACCCAATCATCACTTTAAAATATTTACACTAGTGATACCACAAATCTTCCCTTCTACTTAATGGAAGTATAGAATAAACTCTGTTTATTGAATCTATTGTCTTGACGAGATATGCATATTACAAAACTAGTTTCAATGATCCAACCATCAAGCTTGTTTTGATATACCCCCAGATCGCATACGCCAAATATTACCAATTGTTTATTTCGTGGATTAGGTAACGGGATGAAATTTTTTGACGGTTACAAACGTATCATCACAATTTAACGGTTATTTTAGCTCCAATTTTGATGATTTTTACAACTACATTCCTCAACCCTAGAAGAATACAATAAATGAACCCGATCATCAATTTAAAACTTTGACCATAAATACAAGTCAATATTAATGCATAACACTTTTGACTTCATGTCCATTTTAACCATATACACAGCTACAATAATTTTATATCAAATTTACCAAACGGTGTGACATTGGTGTTCATACTTATTTTTGAATGTATAATTAAACGTTTAACTGTTTTATTTAACAACTAATAATCTCAAAACACAACATAAACATTTTTATAGTTAAATAAAACTACAATAATACCAAATTAAGCCTTAGCCTTATTGAAATGGGAACTTTAGAACTGTAAATACAACAATGAACACATCTAGTCATTGTTGGGGAGAGAAATGAATCTAATAGAAAGAAATCCTTAGGGTTTTCAAGGTTTTGTTAGAGCCAAGGCTAAGGGAATAATCCAGACAAAGAATCATGTTAAGAGTAGTCAAACTAAGCTTGACCCCATGGTCCCTTGCTAAACTCAGAAGTTACATCTTAAACGTGTCGTAGGACCTTGTTATCTCCTTATCATTACTGCCAAAGGCTAATTAGTCCCTGGTCAAAAGATCTTCCAAATGACTAATCTCATCTGTTGGTTTCTCCCAGGTTGTCTCCATCTGTGATTAACTTCCTTATTATCATTAATATTAGAATTAATTTAAAGTTAATTCCAGACCAAAGTCATTGAAGAGGCTCTCCGTCGCGATCACTATTATATTTTTATCACCACCACATATATATTTATAGACAGAAACAAACCCATCCTTCTCATAATCTTCTATGTCAATAAGCATTGGGCTGAAACGACAACGTAGCTTACTGTTTTCACTTAACTCATTAATTATATATTTCATGCATATGGATCATCCCTTTAACAAGTTGGACTTTGAATGATTGCCCCCAATTCCAACTACAATTAGTTTAAATGAAAACCCAAGTTAATTACCCCAAAAGCATTGTATAATTCATGTGTGCGCGTATATTCTTAATTAATTAAATTCTTGTTGTGAAGCTTTGGACGTAATTTTGTTTCTCAATCATCAAGCAAGAGTGCTTTCAATGCTTCTTGTTTGTCAGAAATGTGAACTACATTGCAAAAGATGAACTTGGTACAGAGGAAGAGAAATAATTGATAGAGAGAAACAAGAGAGATTGTATTGATTGATTAAAGAAAATGTATACAAATGAACTTAAAGAAATGATAGCTATACAATCCCTTATATAGCCATATATCCCAATTACAATGATACCCTTCTAACTATATTAACAAACTCAACCACTAGAATAATGCCATGTGACATTTTTGTTATATCAGTTATTACTCCCCCCTCAAACTAAACTTGGAGTATCCAAGTGAAGTTTGAACTAGCCAGGTGTTTGAGACTTATCTGGAACCTTGAGTAAACCATTGCTAGCTGTCCTTCATCCCAACCATTCACACCATATTCTACTAATAAAATTTGGCACCTCATCCTTCTCAAGAAACCTTGCAGCAATTTGTCCATAGCCTACCTGCTTCACTTCTATGTCAGTACTTTCATCCCTAAACAGAATATGAGGGATCACCACAAAGGAATTTGCTCCATCGGAATTCTCATTACATTCATGACCATCAGCACCAAAATTCCCATTGCCATTAGATATCAAAATTTCCCCATTTTTGACAACAGCAAGATTGTTTTCATTGTCATGAGACTCCAAAATACATTAGACTGTGCACCAAAGAAATTAACCATATTCCACGAAATGGCAAAACCTATCATCAAATCTTCTAGCTTTCCCAAAGCTCTGAATCAAAGGAGTGCACCCCATGTCACCTTTGTAACTGTTGACCAAAAGATTTTCAACTTTGAACTGAAAAGCCATAGTAACACACTCACTGTATATGCAAATTACCCCTCCTAAATCTTTACAGAGATTAGCACCAAATCAAGCAAAGAGAATGACACTCCAAGAAACCCAAATAAACCAAGGAGAATGACACTCCAAGAAACCAAATCAATCAAGGAGAATGACACTCCAAGATAGCTTCCTAAATCTTCCCTAATACCAAAATTAACCAAGGAGAATGACACTCCAAGAAATCAACATTATAAGCTGTTATAAGCTTCTGAACAATTCAAATCCAATAAAGAGATAGTAGAATTTCAATGGGGCAGAGAGATAGACTTGGACACCATAAAAATTGCACGGTTCATGGTTCGAAAATCCAGCAAACCAAATGAAGTCCATGACAAACACTGATCTTGAAGCAACGAAGAATCTTGAACCCAAATATCATAAACAACTTGAAGAACCCAGAAAAGACGCACTAGAAAGATGATTTCATGATTTTAAATCTCAAACAAATAACACAAACAGCTTTAAGATTGCAGGGAGCTTACCCAACAGAGTCCCCGTGGCCTCATCATCTCCGCCATTGAGCTCCGCCAGGAATCCTATTCTCGGAACCAGCTGGGTCTCCAGATCAAAATTGAGAAGCGTCGGATGCATTACTATCAAATCAATGCCACCAAAGCGGGCGAAGAATGCGATTGTTCTTTCGATTTCTTCAAGTGACTTGAGATACAATGCCTTGTACAGATTAACCTTGTTGAGAACATCAAAAATCTTGTCAACTGAACTCCGCGGTGAAGAAGCAATCTGACTTTCTGATCAAAACCCACCAAGAATCTTGCTTCTGTTGTTTTAAAAAGCCACTTCAGCTGCAGCGGCTCGATCTTCCCTTCCAAATCGTCGAGATCAAATTGCAGAAACAGACCTATTTCCTCAGCTGTTAATAGACTTAGGGATTTTGTAATCAACTAAGAAAGCACAAGGCCATCGATTCCAACGGAACGGAAGGAACAAACCCAAGCTCGCAGTGAATCCAAAGATGTCAACGCCACAGCTGGATTCTTGTCCAAAAGCACTCGGCTTTCATCCTCGCCAACCCCAATTTCTTGAAAGAACGAGAACAACATTCTTCGGCGAGGACATTGGCGGGGGAGAAGAAACTGTTGATTTTGTTGGAGACCCAGTTGGGTTAATGACGGTTGTCGTTCAAAATTCTAGGCTATGGTGAACTTTAACGGAGAAAACCATTGACGGGCGTGGAAGATTGAAGGTGAAGGAAGAGGAGAGGGCCGACGTCTTCCATGTGAAGGTCAAGTAGTGGTGCCATGCTGGTCTCGCCGGCTTCATCTTCAAACCCAGAGGAAAAACCCCAAAACTAAACACAAAACCCTCGGCGGAAAAATCCAAAGACCAAAAAATAAGAACTATGAATACGGAAGCATAAACGATCAAATACGCAGAAACGAAAGAAAGTAATGAAGAAAAATAGAAAGTAATGAGAGAAGAGGAATCGACCACCAAGGATCAAGATCCATGGCTTGAGCCTTGGTGGCTCTAATACCATGTGAACTACATTGCAAAAGATGAACTTGGTACAGAGGAAGAGAAAGAATTGATAGAGAGAAACAAAAAAGATTGTATTGATTGATTAGAGAAAATGTATACAAATGAAATTAAAGAAATGATAGCTATACAATCCCTTATATAACCAGATATCTCAATTACAATGATACTCTTCTTATTATATTAACAAACTCAACCACTAAAATAATGTCATGTGGCATTTCTGTTATATCAGTTATTAAGAAAAAGAAGTCGATGTTGCATATGTGTGAAGTTTTTGAACATCTAGTGCAAGT